ACGTCAACATTAGGGCCGGTGTTGCACTCAACACACAACAGAATATTCTGTATTCTATATACATGTCTATCCATTACTTATTAGGGATGACGTTAGCGTATGGGGTATGGGATGCGATGATGAAGAGCCCGATGCCCTAAATATCATTGAATAAATTGGATGAATGGAAAAGTTTTTTCCTGAATATTCTGTTGAGTGCAATGAGAGGTCCAGTTATAGTCCAGTAATCATTTGATGAATCGCTGGATGAAATCATTTATATATAAATAGATACTCTATTTTTTCCACATCTCTATGTTAACGACCCATTAATCTGTTTGTTATTTTCATTAGTTTCGCATTAAATATTAATTATGAAAATTCGTGTAACTTTTGATAATTATTTCTCGCATTTTCGCCAGAATTCTGTGTTCTGTTAGTGAATACTAAATGTGTTGAAAAATTATACATAAAAATGTGTTGAAAATTCTTGTAATCATTAGAATTGAGCATAAAATGAGTGACACTTTCTTAGAAAGTGGTGAACACACAGAGACAGACACTAAATGTCATAATTTCTAGCGTTAAATGCAATTTTCACTGTATTTTATGTGTGTTTTTATGAACACAGAATCTATTCATTGTTTATTTGTTTATGGATTACAAACAAAAGGCAAATGTGAGGCAATTCTAGACTTAAGGAATCGGGTATTGGTTTCGCGAAATCCTATTATATTATCATATCTTATAATACACTCAATACTCAAGAATTTGCACACAAATGAGAAAAGCATTGAAAAGTCGGGCACAAAATGCGAGCATTATATGCGAACCACTCGTTATTAAAATGAGTTAAATCTCTTGAAAATTCATTAATGTCTCCATTGAATGGCATTTAAGCCGAAAATAGTCTTATATTCATATAATAGTCGTATAAAAGTTTATCATCTCTTTCGCTCAAAACAGTCTCTCTCTCTCTCTCTCTCTCTCTAACAGACAAAAACTATTGGCATTAAAAGTTCACGATTACATTGAATGCCTTTGGATGAGCTTGAAGGTGACGGTGCCCTTACAGTGCACTCCGGATTACAGTAGGAGTGAGACTATAATACAGAATCCATTTGATATGTTTTTCACCACTTTTTTGGTTAATTAAAATTGAAGTCACGCTGAGCTGTATTTATACTGTATTTACTTGTATTGACGTTTAGTATATAAATTAGGATATTATTAAGCGTTGCAAACGAAACGCACAATTCATATGAAATTTAATTAAATTTAATGAGAATTATATTAATGATTAATGTTTTTCATAAATTGTTGTTTTGTGATTAAATCATTTTATATAGAAATGAATGTTTTTATCAATAATTATATTACTGTTTGTGGGAGAGAGGGGACAGTCGGTCAATAATGAACTGCCGAACAGGGAATGGGATCTCTCGGAGCTGTTGGAGACCACGGCTGACGACCTGATGGACAGCGCGCTCAAGAAGTTGACGACAGAAAAGGCGTTCACTTTCGACGAGAAACACACGAAAGAGTTGACGAGTTATTTGAGTCACAATTAAGGCTTCAATTGTATTGTTTTCGGTCCAACTAATTGGGGAACAATTTTACTGTAAACTTGTTATAGACTTGTATTGAATTTACTGTATTTTTCATACCATTTAGCGTATGATTGAATAATTTAAGAATATTCCGGGTAATTTAAATAAAAAGTTTTATCCAAGGTATAATGAATAATTATTGCGTAAACTTTATGCCATATTCTGTCGGAATAATTTGTCCAGAAATATTTTCGCCTATAAGGTGTTACATTATTTCAATGGTTTTTCAATGTGTTTAGTACGAGGTATCTACCGATAGGGAAAGGCAGGGGTTCCAAAAACACTAACTTTTTGCTCGTTGACTAATCAGCCTGGTGAAAGTTGAATTGAAATTTGTTAATTGGGATAAATTCCACAAATAGATGGCAACTAATGTATTATTATCATGGTTATTCTGTGCTCTAAAATTCTTTGAATGTATTCTGTATTAAAACTTTGAATTGAATTTCAAAGAGTGCTATCATTCGACATCAAAATTGTTAATTTGTTTGTAAAATAAATGCATTTGAAAATTTTTATCAATCAATAAATTGCATTGGATGTCTCCAACTCCAACTCCAACTCCAACTCCAGTGTCCGTATGGGCTACAAATGGCGTGAAATGTAATTTAAATCTCTGAAACACATATGGTTTGAGTGAATAAAGTCATTGCACTGCATACCTGTGCCCATAGCTATCCCATAGACGTGAAGACATCAGTGTTTTGCAGGGAAAGTGTATTTCAAAGTTAGGACTGTTTTGTTGGTTAAAGACTTTAGAAATACTTGAAAATAGAAAAATTAGTTTAAATCTGATATGAAATAACTCTTTAGACTTAGCGATGCTTTAAAGATATTGAATAGATCTTAAAACCCGATTGCTTTCGGTCCTAAACCCAGTCTTCATCAGGAGTTATAATATAAGAAAAAATTAAATGAATTCAAAAACTTTTCAAAACTAATTTATACATAAAACACCAGATCTTATCGATAATTAAATTCCAGATTTTAGAGTAGAAATAATAGTTGTTTTCACTGAATATAATGCAGAATATTCTGTATGTCTTGTAATCCATCGATTCAGGTGTTGGCCACCGATTGGCTGACACTCTATGAGTGGATTCCGTGAGAGGAACGGAAGGTTTGAATCGCAGTGAACCCACCGGTGGCTTAGCGTATGGTATGCCTAAGAATACGGAAACAGATTTGTCGCCAAATGTCACTAAATTGCCGACAAAAGCGCCGACACTCGTGGGCACCAGTACTTCAGTTGTGTTCAATTCAGTACTCCTTTCCACAGAATATAACCCAAAATACATGTAAAACGAGAATAACGTGAATATTATTAACAAAACTAAAACATAACTTAATTTCACAAACATTTTACCAGTACTTCATTTGTGTTCACTTCAGTACTCCTTTCCACAGAATATAACCCAAAATACATGTAAAACGAGAATAACGTGAATATTATTAACAAAACTAAAACATAACTTAATTTCACAAACATTTTAATATTTATTTATTGAAAATGTAGAGAATTAAATTCCCTATCGGTATTAATTTTGAAATTTATTACTAAATCTGAGCACTGGGAGGAAAGGGATGATTTATTATGGAAAAACTATACATTAGATTTTAAATTTAATTAGGTGAATGAAAAAATCATTAAAAACTTTTTAAAAAGTTTTACAATTTTTAAAAATATATAAACTATTAACTGTGCTAGAGAATCTTAAAGATTTCACTTGAACATTGTGATTTGCAATAGAAAACGTTTACAATATGTAATAAAATAATATCTAACCTTTTTCAATGGCAATACTCTGTATTCAATGGAAAAGTGCCAACTTTGAGGTGCTACTAGGACAGTTAATTTATTAGACAATTGAAAAATTCAAAATGTTTTCCTTGTTAATTTTTTGAACTCTTTTCAACGCACTAATTAGACTTCAATAATTTACTCTATATTACTTAATTTAAAATCAAAATAAAACCACCATTTCCTCCCGGTGCTCAGATTTAGTTTAAAAATTCAAAATTAATACCGATAGGGAATTTAATTCTCTACATTTTTATATACGATAACTTTCTTATATCCCATCTCCTTCAATTTATATAATTGTTTAAAAGTCAGATTAGTTAAGATAACTGGCCTCCTTGTGCAATGACTATACATTGTATAGCAAATTTATGAGCACCATGTATCCTTAGTTTTTGAAGCCATTTCCAACAGTGTACATTGAGTCACTCTACGAATTATAATTTTTAAGCTAGAGCAAAAAGCTACCAGCCCCCTGCAACAAAGTGTTTGTCTACTGGGAAACTTAAAGTGCATAAAATACGAAAAAAAATATTTTTAATTTATTTTTAATCAGGGTAGTTTTCAAATAAATGATTTTGACAGTACTTTCCCGACAACCCAATACAAACAGGTCCTTAAGGGTTGAGTCACTTCTGGAAAATGACCTTGCACTAACAAGTGAAAATACATTTTAATACAAAAAAATAACCAGACGAACATGGTGATTATTTTATTATATTAGGTGTTTAATTAAAATGAGATTCTCATGGAATCAACATTTTCTCGATTGGGAACTCTAGCTCTAACTCTAGTGTTCCGAATGGGCTATAAATGGCGTGAAATGTAATTTAAATCTCTGAAACACATATGCTTTGAGTGAATGAAGACATAGCACTGCATACCTGTGCCCATAGGTATCCAATAGGCGTCAAGACATGAGTGTTTCGCAGGGAAAGTGTGTCCAACCAATAGGTCTTTGCTTTGATTCAAATAAAACATTGAATATAATATTTTTTTAAAATAGGTCTTTGCAGCCAATCTTAAGACAGTTGTGGTTAACATTACCCGAAAGATCGGATCCATTGACGACAACACCTCCGGAGGAGAGGGAGGGAGAGAGAGTACATTAGTTTGTGTCCAATCGGGAGTTTTCGGGAGTGTTAAAATCAAGTCCGGGAGTAATAGGGAGTCCCGTTACATGTGATTCAGGAGTGAACGCACCCGAACACACTCCCGATTGACTGTTTCATTTCAAACCTATTAACTTTTAAACCACCAGTATCATTTTAAATATTAGGTTAACTCTAAGCCATACTTTCTAACCCAAGTATTGAAAATGACTTTTCAAAAGCAAAAAACAAATAGATTTTATTTTAGTAATTTGTTACCCCGGTCAATAGTCGGGAGTAGTCGGGAGTCCCGATCAGCTTTAGGACCTGAGTCGAGAAGAATAGGGAGTCATAAAAATTTGTCGGGAGGGAACGGGAGTATTGCTTAGCCTCAATTGGACAGACACTAGAGTATAGTACAGTATATTAAATAGTAAAATAAGTGCAAAAATCGTATGAAATCATGATTTTATTATCGATTATGAAATGAATGTATAATTAAAGCAAACATTCGACACATCACTGATCGGCCGTCACTTCAATGTCGACAGCGATGTCTTCAGCGCCGGTGTCGTCTTCAGTCAACTTCTCGAACGCCAACTCTTCTTCTCCTTCGTCGTCGTCTTCGCCGTCATTCTCTTCACCCATACCTTCATCGCCGGCGGTCTCGTCGACAGTCTTAGAGTCCGTGTCCTCTGCGGCCGTATTATCACTGGATTTGTCGACCAATCGCTCGAATACTTCGGGTTTACTTGTCTTCCATTCGTCGATCTTTTGCTGATAGAACTGATACACGAATGCAACCATTTGTGGCATATTCTCGACCACAAGTGTCTTGTCATCTGTGGTGATGTCACCGATCTTACGGCTACTCTGCAGATACTCTTCGGCGGGGATCAGATGCAGAGTCTGCGGCCTTTGCATCAGAAGTTTGAAAGCATTCGAGAGTTCGTAACAGTTCTGGAAGAGCGACACCCGAGCGAACAGTATCTCCGGATTGGCCCGGGAGCTATCCCGGTGGTGATCTGCGGCGTGTAGCGCATACACAGGGTGTCAAAACCAGGAGTGGTCGCTATCGTCATACATCAGTAAGACAACTGGGACCATAAACAGTACTGTTGTGATCTTAAAACACAATTAAAATCCAATTAATAACTCATTTTTAAACACAATTCTCGCGACACTAACCATCGCTGGGAATCCTATGAACGGATTGGTAGCGCACCGTTGCTTCACCACATCGCGGATCAGGTGCTTCTGGCCGTTATATGTGGTCAGTATTGTTATCTTATCGGACGGGTAGCCCATGAGTCGCATATACATGAAAGTCGCCACAACGTACTCGGCCTCCGCTAAGTTCTGCATAACAAACACAACAATTGAATCCATGAATGGATAACTCAGTGAACACCACGAGATAATGGGTGCCATACCTGATAGAAATAGGGGACGGGCTCTGACTCGCCCACACCGTTATAGTCGTCAACATTAATGAGTTGATAATCAAAACGAAAACCTATTCATAAATTTATAAACACATAAATTAAGCCCAAATTTTGGCAAATCATGGTCTGAAAAAAACATACCCGAGTTGGCGAACTGGTACTCGGGAAGGGTGGACACGTGCGCCAAATCACCCAAATTCTTATACCTCCACTTATACAGCGCGCAGAGGGAGGGCCGGGCCCTGCCCTGAGCGTCCAAATCGATTGTGGGAACGCCTAACCGGACGAACCTCGTGAACAGCGACTGCTCCATATTCGAGAACTTCTGGAACGTGATGTTCTTGATGACTGGTGGCAACTGGTGGTGATCGCCGATCATTATCCACCTCTTGAGCCGATTGTGGCCGTTCTCCGGGTTCTGGAGCAGCAACGGTATGAACGTCTCGATCTCCAGGATCTGCGCCGACTCCTCCATCAGTATGTTGTCGTACTGGAAGCCCACGGACACCAACTCCTTCCTCTTGAGCGCCGCGTGAGTACAGGTCATGGCTATGATCTTCGCCTCCCTCACCAACAGGTAATGGCTTCGGTCGAGACCCGACCGCAACATCTCGAACGCCTTGAACTCATCCAATTGGGTGAAGATCTTCCGGATATACCGATAGCAACCTCTGGCGACCTCCAGGTCCTCGTCGAACGACTGGCCCGTAAACAGCGGCTGCGGGGCGTCGGCGAAGAACTCGCGAAACGGAAACCGCTTCTCAATCGTCTCCACACTGCGATCGGCCGACACTTTAGTCATATACCGTTCCCAACGGGACAGCACGTGGTATAAGTAGAAATAGCCGGCCGTCTCGCACGTGTAGCCCACGTCTGACTCGACGCCCAGACTGTGGCCCAAATGTTGCACTTTGTTGAGCAGATCGATGCGTTTGGCCAACACGTAGTTCACGCGCCCGTAGCGACTGAAGTCTTTGTCGGTCTCCAGCGACTCCTCGCCGTGTCCTAAGCGAAGCAGATGGCGCTCATCGATGTCGAGCGCCATTATCTTCTCGAACAGGGCGTTCAGCGCCTGATTAGAGTGCGTGAGTTAGTCACAGGAGACCAGCCCTTTCAACACCATTTACAAACTATACTAGACATGCCGCTGCAGGCAAAACGGCCACGGGCCGCCGGGGTGGTCGTGGCAATCCGGGCCGACATGCGGGCGGAATTAGGCCTCCACCTGAGTGGCCGTGAATCGGACCGTATTCTTTTTGGGCTGTTCCACGAGATACGGGCCTCTGTTGGGCAACACGTATGGCGCGACTGTCAGCGACTTTTTCGTCCCCTTCTCGGCGTCGCTCTTGTCGTCCACCTCTTCCTCGTCGGCGAACTCTATCTTAAACGGCGGAACCAATTGCGACGACTCCTTAGCGTCTGTGCGAATGTCGTAACCGACGAACGAGTCCTTCAAGTGCTGGTAATCGACAAAAGTGTCGCAAAAGTCAATACTCGACAGTTTTGACGCCATATTCGTGTAGTGAGCGGCGGACGGGTCGCCGAAGCCGAGCACCACCTCCTGGAGCCACTCGGGAACCACGCATTCGGTGTTCATTAGGTCGCGAATGGTCTCCAACACGGCCTTAAAGTTGTTTTCTTTGGGCTTACGTCTCACGATAATGTTGAACGTGTCGTAAATGTCTTCATCGCTCTCTCCGGCAGTCCTATCCATGTCCTCCTTGTATTGATTGCAATCCAACCAAACCCTTAACGTCCGGAAGTCGGTGTTATAGAAGGGTTTGTCGAGCGACGTCTCGTCCAGGATCTTGCCCTGAGGGTCGAGCATACCCTCGATCTCGCAGCCCCTCACATACGTCAGGCCCACTTGCGGTACGAATGGCTCCTTGTATTTATAGGGCGTTCCGGGCGGACACGCGGGCCGTACGGTCACCAAAAAGCACACGTCGTGTCGCCGGAGTGACTCCCACTCGCACTTCACCTCTTTTCGGACGTTCAGATTGACCACAATGTCGGCCCTCACTCTCGAGGGATGCTTTTCACCCAAATTCGGTTTCCGCACTTCGATGACAGTGAACGAGTCGATCCCGATGGCCATCCGGGCCCACCCGCCAAACATCACGCCCCCCGTCTCCGTGCGCCACGGCTTCATGTGTCTGTGCCGCAGGAGGTCCAGAACGGACTAGAGTATGCAGCTGAGGTTCGCTTTGTTTACTTTCAAAGCGTCGTTTATCAGCACATCACACTCCTTGACCTCCAACTCAAACCCGTCTCGGTCTGTGGCGTCGCCCGAGAAGTACTGCGACGACACCAGATTCTCGTCCCAAATGATCGCTTCGGACGGATATAATGGCATTTCGTTGAGCGCCTGCAGTCGCGACGTCTGTCTCTCGTGTTTACTGATAATCAACTCGAGAATCAGATTCCGATCGCAGCTTTTGCTCAGCACTTCCTCGTCGCCTAACCCTAAAAGCGCCGCCAATTTCACTAAATCCGAGTCATTCAGCGACTGGAAGTGCTTCTTAAGAGCCGCCGGCGTGTCTATGGCCGACACGTTGGATATAAACACATCTTTGAGGTCCGGGAAGTGTCTGAAGACTTGGAGTTGCATTCGGTGTATGCGCTCGTAATGGCGTTTCATTATCTCCTTTTCGGTCATCGCTTCGCCGGTCATGTCGTCGATCTCGAAGTCTGAGTAGAATCGAAGCATTTCCAAGAGTTGGCCGAAGAGTTTCGACTCATTGCCCGGCCGTTGCGCCAAACTGGAGGACCGGGAGATGATGACGACATGCGTGTCATCCATGAGTGCGTTGAAGAACCTTCGCGTCTGCAGAATGGACTCCAAGTCGATCATGAATTCTAGAAAGCGTTCGCAATAATGGATGATATCGTGGAAGCGTTTGTCGAGCTTCGGCTGCTGTTTGGCGCCGGGAATGAGCGCCAGATAACCGAAAAACTGTTTCATCAATTCGTACAAAAAGGTCCGCTCGAAGGCCACTCTCTGGCGCTGGCCATCGTCCAGGAGTTTGTCCTTCTTCTGGATGGCGTTCCAGTACTTCAACAGTTTCGGCATCTTCTGGAACTCCAGTTCCCGGCGTTTGGCCGATAGGCTGCACCACACGCTCAGCGACACGTACTTCTGGATCTCGTCGCGAATGACCGCGACTTCGATGCCATTGAAACAGTGGATAATAAACACCAATAAAGCGGTCCTCTCTTTGAACGACAGGTCGCGGCCGCCGTCGACGCCTATCATTAGTCTCGAAATTTGCGTCAACAGTTGCCCAAAGAGCTCGGGCCGCGTCTCGAAGCACTTCCACGGGTCGACGCGTTCCCGAAACTTCTCGTTAACCATCACCACAATCGACATCAAGTGCTGCACCGACGATGACTGCGGCTCATAGTTGGGCCACAAGTAGTTCTCCAGGTATTGACTCAACTCCAAGATCATCACTCGCTTCACTTGAAACCCGTCGCCGCGGATCTCGTTGTTGTAGATGTCTTTGACGAGGTTGTGGTCATATGGGGACCACTTGCCAGCGGTGGTCGGCGACCAGTACTTCGCCGCCAACCCATCATCACTCGCTTCACTTGAAACCCGTCGCCGCGGATCTCGTTGTTGTAGATGTCTTTGACGAGGTTGTGGTCATATGGGGACCACTTGCCAGCGGTGGTCGGCGACCAGTACTTCGCCGCCAACCCGTTCAGGAAGTCGGCGTTCAGCTCGGCGTTGGTCACCACGACGTCCGGCATTGTCTCCCTCACGAGTGGTGGATGATAATCGACGGGTGGATCAGTTGGTGGTGACGGTCACGGCGTTAATTCATCGCTTGATTTAATTTAAAAGTTTTTTATCTTGTGTTCAAAATCGTGAGCAAAATGTTTTCAAAATACAATCTGTTCACATATTGTGTGTGAAATTATATGTTAAGCTTTCAGACACCCCTTCACTCCCCTTCAACACAAATATGTAATGCATTTTAGATGCGAGTCACTGATATTATCTCAAACGCTACCCCCGCTATAGTCGAGTACAGTATTTTAGAATGGATTCCTATGTCAGGAGCACATGCTTGGAGCGCACGTAACGTATTGTATGAATAGCGCCTATAATTGCATCATAAATGTGTGACTTTCTCTCAGCGAGTGTTACGGCTTAGCCTTGAATTGAATGCAATTTACACATCAATTCACTACACATTTAAATCAATCGCGAGCCCACTGTCCGACACAACACGTGCTCACAACCCATCGGATCAGTCAATGACCGCAACCATGTCTTCGGGATCACCACAACGGACGCCAAACGACTTCTACGCCGAGGAGACGCAGTCGGAGAAGCTCTCGCGGAAGGCAAAAGACAACCCATTCTTCCCGATCGGTACGTACTCTACAGACACTATCACCGGCTGATCATTGATACCATCAGTGTCTTCGTGTGCGACCATTCATTGTCTTAATGGATGAGTTGTTGAATTGATTGTCAATTAATGTCTAATTATCTGTTTGTTTGAAACCAAACAGCGATGACTGGCTTCACCGGCGCTGTACTGTACGGCGCCTACCGTTTCAAATACCGGGGCGATATGCCTGTATCACTGTACCTGATCCAGTTGCGAGTGGCCGCGCAGGGTATGGCCGTCGGCACACTGACCCTGGGCATGGTCTACATGTTAGGCAAACGGTTATACAATAACTATTATAATATACCCAATGATCCCCCCTATGGGCGTTGATGTGTGTCTACTATTAGTTATGTTTTAATTATTATAATTATTGTATTTTGTTTTTTATGGTTAAATATTAATCCAATTGAATTGATTCCGTAATATGAGTAATATATAATAACTTAATTTTTATTCCTGTATTAATTATATACGAAAAACTAAATTATTTATGCATTTAAATGTGTTTTTAAGCAAAAAATGTTGAGAATTTTATTTTTAGCTAAGAATATGTAAATTTAGGGCATATTATTAGGCGAATAAATATTTTCTAATAAAATTTAGTTTTCAAATCAATTCATAACTTATATGTTTGTATATTTGGTTATCACGAGTGATGTATATTTTTTCCACTAGATATCTTATGACTGATTGCATAGGGATTACACATATGCGAGTCTATGTAACATAAGTCTAACTGTCCCCACGTACAGTACTGTAGCTACTGGTGCTCTCATGTGATATAAGAATATACTGATATGAATATCATACAGAATCTGCACTATAGCTTAGCACTGGTCGTGTATTTTTATACTAAACACTTACTTTTGATTAAAATCTGAGAAGTTTTGCGGCAACTTTTGAATGCCTTGCACCCATGTATTGTGTGTATAGGAGGGGGAGGGGAGGGGGTGGAGAAGTGGTTGCGAAAGTATAGTATGACATCATATAATTCGCGTGAACTGGTAAGGGGTGTAACACTTTTTACAACTTGTTTTGTCTATTCAATGCAGTGCTAATTGAGTACAACTGGCATTCATTAG